TATTGTTCTAGGAAATATTTGCCTAAATCTATTCATGACTTAATATATGCACTATCTAGTTGTTTATACCAACGGATAGCCTGTAACACCCTAATCTGATCTGACCCGAAGGTCCATGGATTATGATGCCACACAGAACCACCAAAATGGTCAACCCAAAAATATCTTTTAAAATATTTAATAATATTAAATCCATTCATCATAATTTAAACGAAATCAAATCAAGTTTACAAAATAAGGGAGTCTCCCGAAATACATACAAATACAACCATAAATTTTAGATCAAAATAAAGTTATGACTCGATCATACAAAGGTCCATATAAAATACATGCCCTCTAAAATAGACTCAAGATATACTCCGCAATGGATACTCTGGAATATACGGATGCGATAGGCTTCTCGACAATTCCTCTACTAACCTGCACACGGAAACACATTCCATTTGTTGAGCTCACAAGCTCAGTGCTAAGAATATAACTATACAATACTACCTGTATTCATTACACGAACATACTGGAATGTGAAGTCATGAACATGCAAAAGTACAAATAATATGAGATAGGCCAAGTGGAGTGGTCGAAGGAATTTACGTATATCTCGGGTAACACACTAGCCTATTTATCACGAAATAGCTTCGGGGTAAGAACATGAATTTAGTGCATAAGAACTTATATCCCTCAGCCTATTTTATATCCTTGAGAGATCAGGCTACTTTCTGAAATTTACGTGTATCGGAAGCTCACATCCCGAACCTAGTCGAGCATAGGGTACGATTTTGAAATTTACATACGTTAGAATTTTTATCGGTAAGACCCAGAATTTACGTGAATCGGATGAGTACCAACATACAATATTCGGATATTCACAAATAAAGGAAGATCGTCATAATATTATAATAACTTAGGTGTCCTAGCCATTTCCCGAGCATCATAAAAAGACAAATCTTATGTCATCCTATCATGCTTGATTTCTATGTAAGAATTGGTTTATCTTGATTGTTTTCACTTGTATTGAATACTTATAGTTTATACAAACACAAAACACCTCAGCCCGAACACCCAAACAAATTAACTAAAATTGCCCAAAAATCACTGTAGGTATCGATATTATGATATCAGTATCGATACTCAGCCCTTGGATATCGATACTCACCTAAGAATTGATTGAAAAATTTGCTTCAATGTTTTGGAAAATACTTGGGAATCGATACTCCCATGGGAAGTATCGATACTTTACCATGGGTATCGATTCTGCCATGAGCACAAAGACCAAATTTGGCTTCGATATTTTCAAAAATATCCCAGTATCAAAACTGACCCTCTGAGTATCGATACTGAACCCATAGTATTGATACTCCTTGAAGGGAGTATCGATACTGCCCTTATAGCATGCCCGATTTTTCGTTACGCGAAGAACAATATTGATATTGTTCTTCTAGTACCGATATCGATAAATCTGGGTGCTCTATTTTGAGCATGAAATCATGCCCAAAACACACTTATTCACTCCCCTGAGACCTGCAAACATTTTTAAAGTCTTATTTGATGTCTTAGAAGTCAAAAGGTATCATCTTTCATGCATAAAACATAAAAAATACGAATCTTGCCATGTAATCACTCTAACATGTTTGCATGAACAAACATACCATTTATGCACATTTAATGAAATACATGTCGTATGGACAAGTTATAATCTTGTTACCATGAGTCCAAGCTACTGAAAAACATCTAGAATCAACCAAGAGTTATTTTTTCCTTGCCTCTAGACTTTGAGCTCTCTACTTGCTCTTGAACTAATCAAAGTCTTGAAAATGAGTTGTTAACTAATTTTAAATTTAAAGGAACACTAGAAATAATTCTTACAACCCAAAACTCTCTTAAAACTAGACTGAAACAGAATGTTCCTTAAACACCTCTAAAACCTGTTTTTACCTAAGACATCCAAACCTTGTAAATGAGGGTTCAACTTGAAGCTTAGGAAGTGTAGATTAAGAATCTTACCTTTGAAATTCTGATTCAAGCTTGCAAAACTAAAAATCTTGGACCTTTAATTTTCCTTAGAGAGAAGAATATAAGGAAGAGTAGAAGAAGAATATAACAAAGGGATGAAAAAGATAAGCTTGGTGCAGACATGGTATCATCCCAAATAAATGGGATTTAGCCTTTGTTTCAAAATTTGGGTTAATTACTTCCTTAATCCTCCTTTATTTGATTCATGATTAAAATCATCACTTTTCAAGCTTGTTGGGCTCATCTCAAGCACAAATCAAATCTACTTGGGTTCAAAACTTCATATATTAAAGGAAAATTATTCTAAAGCCCATTCGAATAAATTTGAAACTCCTAACTCGTATTTTGGGGCATTACAACTCTCCCCTCCTAAGAAGAAATTTTTTCCTCAAAATTTAACTAGATAGAAGAGGTGTGGATAATGAAGTTGCATATCTTCTTCGGGCTTCCATGTTGCCTCTTCAATGCCATAGTTCCTCCACAAAACCTTTACTAATGGTATCCTATTGTTTCGTAATTCCTCTAATATCTCTGGCAAGAATCTGAATTGGTTCTTCCTCATAGGTCAAGTCTTGCCTTACTTCAACTTACTCAAGGGGAATAACATGGATGAGTCTGATCGGTATCTTCTGAGCATGGATACGTGAAACACATTGTGGATGCATTCAAGCTCTAGAGGTAATGCTAAATGATAAGCCACTGACCCAACTCTCTCTGTAATCTCATATGGTATAATGAATCATGGGGTAAACTTACCCTTGCGCCCAAACCGAAGAACATTTTTCCAAGGGGAAACTTTGAAAAATACCTTGTTTCCTATAACGAACTCAATATCATTGTGCTTCAAATCATTATACAACCTTTGTCTGTCAAAAACATCCTTCAGACAACTCTGTATCAACTGAACCTTTTATTTGGTTTCTCAGATCATCTCTGTACCTACATTCTTACCCTCAATGATCTCTGTCCAATATAATAGGGTTCTATACTTGTGCCATACAAAGCTTTAAACGGGGTCATCTGAATAGTTGCCTAAAAACTGTTGTTATACGCAAACTCCACCAAGGGTAAGTGATCATTCCAATTACCCTCAAGATCCGAAATGGTATATCTGAGCATATCCTCCAAAATATGAATAACTCACTTGAATTGACCGTTTTTCTAAGGATGAAAGGTGATTGTATAATGCAGTTTAGTACCCAAAGCTCCATGCAACGCTTTCAAGAACTGAGAAGAGAAATGTGGATCTCTATCAGATATAATCAAGATTGAGACCTCATACAATACCACAATATTGTATATGTACAGTTAAGCCAATCTCTCTAACATGAAGTCTATACGAACCAGAAGAAAGTTAGCAGACTTGGTCAATCGATCCACTATAACCCAAATTGTATCACGTCTAAACCTTATCATCGGAAGGTCGGTTACGAAATCCATCATCATTCTCTCCTAATTCCGTTATGGAATTTGAATTGGTTGCAACAACCCTAAGGGAACCTGATATTCTGCCATGACTTGTTGGCACACTAAGCACTTGGCAACAAATTCGTACACTTCTCTTTTCATGCCCGACCACTAATACAATGGTCGAATCTCTTGGTACATCTTGTTGCTACCTGAATAAAGTGAGAGAGGACTACAATGCACCTCATGAAAGAACTTATCACAAAATTACTTGTCGACCAAAAAATGCCCTTGGAAGTACAATACGCGTCCATCGTATAACTAAAAACTGAGGACCTCATCTCAGAGGACTTGCTCTACTCGATCCCTCAATTGGTCATCCGAACCTTGTAACATGTTTAACTTTTCCCACCAACTCATGTTCAACCCTCAACTCAGCCAAAGATTTCCCAAATCTGACAAACTTAGACGCACTAATAAAACTCATAACTCTACTATGGTCTTTCTACTAAAGGCATATGCAACGATGTTCTCTTTGCCCAGATGGTAGTCGATCACATAATCGTAGTCCTTCTAAAGCTCTACCCATCTTCTTTGCCTCAAGTTCAACTCTTTCTAGGTAAACAGATACTTAAGACTCTTATGATCCATGAAGATGTGACACTTCTCCCCGAACAAGTAGTGCCTCCAAATTTTCAAAGAAAAAGCCACTGTGGCAAGCTATAAATCATGAGTAGGGTAGTTGCACTCATGAGGCTTGAGCTGGCGAGACACATAAGCCATAACATTTCTTTCTTGCATCAGAACACATCCTAAACTATTTAGTAACGCATAATTGAACATGGTGAAATCTTTACTGGAGGTTGAGTCAGAATGAGGGCCTGCGTAAGGATTTCTTTCAAATGATCAAAGCTTTCTTGGCGCCCCTCATTCCATACAAAAGGAACTCCTTTCTGAAGTAGCTTGGTCAATGGTGTTGTGATCATGGAGGAACCCTTGACAAAACTGTTGTAATACTCTGCTAGGCCTAAGAATCTAATACCTCAGTGACATTCTTAGGAGGTTCTCACTCTAACACTGCCTTAATCTTCTGAGGATCCACTCGGATGCCATCAGTTGCTACAAGATGACATAAAATTCCACTTCAAATAACCAGAATTTTCACTTCCCAAACTTGGCATATAACTGACGATCTCTGAGTGTCTGCAAAACGATGCGGAGATACTGATAATGCTCCTCCTCGGACCTAGAGTACACAAGAATATCGTCAATGAAAACCACCATAAATAGATCTAGATAAGGACAAAAACTCAGTTTATCTAATCCATGAACACCACCGAGGCATTGGTGAGTCCGAATGGCATCATGAGAAACTCGTAATGTTCATTTCTTATCCTGAAGGTTTTCTTACCTATATCTGTATCCTTAATCTTCAACTGATAGTGCCCTGGCCTCAAATAAATCTTGGAGAACACACATGTGCCCTTAAGTTGTTCGAACATATCATCTATTCGAGGAAGAGGGTAGCGATTCTTGATAGTCAACTTGTTTAGTTATCGATAGTCGATGCACAGCCTCATCGACTAGTCTTTTTTCTTGACAAAAAACACTGGCACTCCCCAAGGCGAGATGCTCGGTCGAATAAAGCCTTTGTCCAACAACTCTTGGATTTGGTTCTTTAGCTCCTTCAACTCTGTTGGTGCTATGCGATAGGGTGCCATAGACACTGGAGCTAATCCCTGCCAAACCTCTATACTGAACTCAACCTCACGGTCAGGCGGTAACCCCTCCAATGTACTTCTCACGGAACTCTGAGAAGAAGTACTTCTAGGTCGGTCTCTCTGTCTCCATTGACAGCTCTACAGTCCCCATTAATTGATCACGTCACCCTTCAGAAGGGCAGTGAGCCACTCAAGCTTGCCCTCGGGAGTGAGGTGTAACTGACAAAGGGTACGGAGGGTCTCTTAGAGCCACTGATATGCAGAGACGGTATTGTCATCCCTAAATATATAAAAGTCGATCATCATGTAACGATGAAATTCTCGACAGAGGACTCCTGAGGCACTACGAATGGCTGAATGGGTGGCGCAAGTGACGGAGATGGCATAGCGGATAGATTTGGTATGGCTCAGATAATCTGTCTAAGGGTCGAGGTCAGGTCACAGAAAAATGTCAGCTCATCGACACCAACGTCTATAGGTTTCTCATGATCCAACTCCGGGGCATACTCATCACCAAAATCTCCAGCCAAGGAAGTGCAACTCTCTTTTTGGCCCTCGTGACAAGGAATATCTCTATCGGCCATAATCGAATCTGATTTTTTTTTAAAAAAAAGAGGTCGCTATCGTCATTCCAAAATATTAAGTACTCTTGATATCTAGTGCCATGTACTCACACAGACACTTACTGACTTTCACCTACGGGTCCTAACAATGACTAAACTTGGACGCGCTGATACCACTAAATGTAACACCCTAATCTGATTTGACCCGAAGGTCCATGGATTACGATGCCACATGAAACCACTAAAATGGTCAACCCAAAAATTTCTTTTAAAACATATAATAATAGTAAAATCATTCATTATAATTTAAAAGGAATTAAAATCAAGTTTACAAAAAATAAGTGAGTCCCCCAAAATACTTACAAATACAACCATAAATTTTATATCAAAATAGAGTTATGACTTGATCATACAAAGGTCCATAAAAAATACATGCCCTCTAAAATAGACTCAAGACATACTCTGCAGTGGCTACTCTGGAATATATGGATGCGATAGGCTCATCGATGATCCCTCTACTAACCTGCGTATGAGAAAACATTCCATACGCTGAGCTCACAAGCTCAGTGCCACGAACATAACTATACAATACTACATGCATTCATTACATGAACATGTCAGAATGTAAAGTCATTAACATGCAAAAGTACATATCAAATATTAAATAGGCCAAGTGGAGTGGTCGGAGGAATTTACATACATCTTAGATAACACACTATACTATCTAGTATAAAATAGCTTTAGGGTAAGAACTAGAATTTACGTGCATCAGAGCTTATAGCCCTCAATCTATTTCAGATCCTCGATAGGTCAGGGTGAGTTACAGAATTTACGTCGAAACCTCACATCCCAAACCAAGTCGAGCATAGGGTACAATTTCAGAATTTATGTGCATAAGAATTCGTACCGGTACTACCCATAATTTACGTACATCGGATGCATACCAACAGACAATATCCAGATATTCACAAACAAAGGATGCTCGTCATATACTATAGTAACTCGAGTGTCCTAGTCATTTCTCAAGCATCATACAGATGCAAATCTTATGTCATCTTAGCATGCTTGATTTCTAGGTGAGAATTGGGTTATCTTGATTGTTTTCAATTGTATCGAATACTTATAGTTTATACGAACTCAAAACACTTCAATCCAAACACCCAAACAAATGAACTAAAATTACCTAAAAATCATTATGGGTATAAATATCGGGCCAGCAGTATCGATACTCACCCCTTATGTATCAATACTCACTTGAGTATCAATACCAAAATTTGCTTCGATGATTTGGAAAATACTTGGGTATCGATACTCCTATGGGAAGTATCAATACTTTACCCTGGGGTATCGATACCAAATTTGGTTTCTATATTTTCAAAAATATCCCAGTATCGATATTGACCCTCTGAGTATAGATACTAAACCCATAGTATCGATACTCCTTTAAGGGGTATCGATACTGCCCTTATATCATGTCTGATTTTTGCCTTACACGAAGAACAATATCGATACTATTCTTCTAGTAATGAGATAACTCCATAAAAAGGTTATATTTAGGGTCTTTTTACTTAAGTTATTAGTCGTCTTAGGGTACATTTAGGTTCATATAAATGCATTTAGGTGCATATAATTGCATTTGGTGGATTCTATTTGCGTGGCATATTATTTTGTAATGGGTGTTGTTTTACGGGGAAGGTTGTGTTTTGCTGATGATGTACAGGTTCATGAAGCAAAGGGTGAGCATGGAGAATTGCTGTAGCATTCCCAGATGGTTAGCAAAGGATAATTGCCAAGGTAATTTAGGTTATCAAGAGGAGAATCCGCTAAGGTGATGTTCGTGGTGGTCCGAGGAGCTATCGGCAGCCAGCATTGGGAGTTTTCCTCCACCCTTATGCTTTTATTTTTACTCGATTTATTGGGTTGTATGGAATGAATTATTTTCTTGAATATTTTGAACCCCACCATAAACTGAACTTTATTTGGTGGGGGTTCTTATTTGGTGTGGGTTCTCATGGATGATTGAGTTTTTGTTTTAATGAATGATTTGAGTTTTTATATTTACCTATTTTTTTGCTCATTGTTCTTAATTACTTAAGATTGTATGAGGCATGAGAGTGTTCATTTCTTAAGTGTATTACTTAGTGTTTGAGATAAACTAGGTTAAAGATCCTTAGTGTTTGAGAGAAACTAAGGGAGGATCTACTCGACCAATAGGTTTTAACTACTAACTAAGACCGGATCTACCTTAGAGATAAGGATAGGATTTCAACGAATAAAACGAGTAGTGTAGATTCGATAGGTTCGATGTTTCTATTCACACCGAGAGGAATTGTCGTGGCATTTGCATCTCTCAGGTTCCTTCACTTGAGAGAGTGTAAGGACACTCTTAGTAACCTCTATTGAGCAATTAAACCATAGAAGCAAGGCTTAGGATTCCTTAGTAACCCCACCATTCATTCCCATTGTAGCTTATTTATGTGAGGAATGCCAAGTTATCTTACTTATCCCTGAATTTTCAATCTATTTTGCCTTAGAATTTTTAATTAATTACACTCTAAACATCTCAATTTGCCATAACATTTCCATCTTCCACCCATCCACACTACCATTGATATTCCACCTGCATACATTTTATTTTGTCACAACATTTCCATTTACTACCTTTCTATATTGCCATTGCAACTTCATCTGTGTACAATTCATTTTACCTCAGCATTTCTATCTCACTTGTTTATACCACATTAACTATACTTAGTTATTTTAGAAAAGTCCATAAACTTTACTCAAGATCCCTCTAATCCATGTGGAGACGATACTCAATCACTACTATATTTATGTATATTTGTATATATTTTCGCATAATTTATAGCACTCACAATACGCGAACAAGTTTTTGGTATCGTTCTCGGGGATTGGGAAGTGGTGATGTTGAGTTTAGTTATTGCACCGTTTTATTTCTTTTTTTTTTGTATATATTTAATTATTTTTGTGTTTACCTTTTTCAGGTGTTATGTTGTCGCATGACCCGTAAAAGACCCAAAGAACCATTATTCATTTTGAACCTAAGGTTCCTGTAGTTCAAAATCAAGTGGAGGATCCTGCAGTTCTAAATGCTATAGTAATTCACAATGATGAGGTTGTAGCTCGACCACGAACTATTATAGATCACTTAGCTCCTACCTTGGATGAACTCAAACATGGTATCTTAGCTTCGGAGATTCAGTCAGCCCACTTTGAGCTCAAATCGGTGATGTTCGACATGTCAGACTTGATTGGACAATTTGGTGGTGCACCTCATGTGGATGGCAAGACATCATATATGTAATATCCCAAACTATGGGTTAGTGACTAAATTGTAAAACTTCATAACTTGGTGATTAAAGTGGAAAAGTTGAATAGTTCAATGACTTATTTGAAAATATTTTTAAAGGGTTATTATTAATTATTAAAGGAATTAAAGGGTAAAATGGTCATTTGATATGAAAGATTTTTAATTCCCTTATAAGATAAGGGAAACACGTGGAATCCATTTTGATTCCACATAATTCTTTCATATTCTTCTTCTTCATCATCATACAAGAGAGAGGGAGCCAAGCAAAGGTAAGTTTTCTGATTAGTTGATTATTTGTTGATTTTAAGTATGAGATTTGATCCTTAGGTGATACTTAAGCTTAAGGAAAGCTTAAGTTGTCTTGAAATCAAAAGATGAAGTACTTATAAAAGATTAAAAAGAATGGGTTTTTAAATGAATTTCTGGAAAAGAGTTGATAAGTTGAATTTTAAACTAAATTTGACTTGTCATCAACTTAATTAAGAGATATGAAGAGATAGAATTGGATTTAGAGCATCTCGAAAATTTGGTATGATTATTGATTTCCATATGAAAAATGGAATTTTGAGGTATATGTAATTGAGTTAAGAATAGAAAAGGGAATGACACATGAAGAATTTAAGCTGAAAATGATGAATTTTCGGGTGAAAAAACCTGTTTTGGGCAGAGTGTATCAGTACCCTACGTATGTGTATCGATACCCTCTTGAACGAAAATATTCCAGAATGTAATAAGGGTACCGATACCTTAAGGAGGGTATTGATACCCCCTAAAGGAAAAAATGAATATGGGTATATTAAATTCGTTTAAATTAATAGCATCGAAGTATAAGGTTTAGAATTCTGATAATTATCTTAGAAATCATGTTTATGTAGATATCGAGCACAAGCAAGTTCTGAAACGACTGCAAAGTTAGGATCAATCCAAAGAGATAAATGATAGAAGTGGATTTGGATTTGGATATATATAAAGTGTCAAGGTGAGTGCAATTTAATTTGTACTTATTTTATTAATCAAACATTGGCTTGTGATGAGCCAGTAACGGAGTTATTATGGTAAGAAGTAACTTCTAAAATGTTATGTGATTCTTATGTATGCATGAGTACATGAAAATGTGTATAGGTGTCATATGTTAATATATATGATATGTGATACTGAACTACATGAATATATGAAAAATATATCAACTATGATATGTATGATGTTTTTATGTACTATGTGATGTATATGAATATACGTGAACAAGATATGACAAACGTACATGAACAAATGAGAAATATAAGCCATATGAAACGAAACGTGATTACATGCATTTACAATGCATGTTATATGATATGAGATATGTTTACAAATACATGTGGTATGTGACAGAAGAGAAGGAATAAGTGATAAACTATTATAAATGATAACCCATGTTATGTATGATGAGCTAGTGGAATAGTTGGCATGCTAAGAGTCGAGGGTCTACACGGTCCTTCGAGACATATACAGAGGTCCTTCGGGATAAATACATAGGTCCTTCGGGATAAATTTCACATGCCCTAGTGGGACCCTATACGAGCTATGGTGATAGCATAGTGCACAACCTCTATGTACTCACATACCTTAAGTTCTCAACATATACATGGGCTTTAAAGATAATAAAGAACTTGATATGATATTGTGTCCTTTGTGAAATAGTATATGTGAT